GGTTTGGCAGTCGTTGGCTGTGGCTTAGGTGTGGTTGGCACTGGTTTGGGTGTTGTTGGCTGCTGCTCGGGAGTTGTTGAATATAAGTCAGCTTCCTGCTTCGACTATGGGAGTTGCTCGGGAGTTGTTGAATATAAGTCAGCTTCCTGCTTCGACTATGCTTTTGTAATCATCGCGTTCGCATTACGAACCAACTCTCGCTCTACATGTTAGCGTATATGAAAAAGCATAAAATCGATATACAAGGGGATATCTTTCCGTGCTAGTGTTACCTTCGTCATCAGCATGCTTCGATAAAAGTCATAGATGATTCCCAGCACTCCCAGCTCACCTCCTCCCCTGGAACTGTATGTGTACGAAGTTTGCATCGGTTCAGAGTTAGAATTCTTTTGTTTTTGACATAAGAATATTCAGACAGACATTCAGGTTTATATATAAGATGTGACGTTCTCTTAGCCCATATTAAGTTTAGACTGGATCGATAATGCAATCATTGGATCCCCAATTGAAAACGTTGACTGCTCCACATTTGGCGATATGATTTATGCTTTGGAATGGGGCCGCTCCTCCAACATTACCGGTGCAACGGTTCTGATGAATGTCCGATTCCCACTGATTATGTGGAGAGATGTAGCCCTAAGTAACAAAATCTATAGTTTTGTCTTTGTCGGTAACACTAAACCTACCTTCAATTCAAACCACCCATTTTCGGTCTTTCCACAATCCATAAGTAGCTCGACCATCCAATATCCCCTACCATATTTATTGTAGTGCTGATATTCTTTTTCCGACGGATTATTGGTTGAATATGCAAGAGGTGTACCAAACGCTGACTGCCCGTTATATTTTCCTAAACTTGTGGGCATGTACTCCGCCAAGACCAATAAATGCCAAATTTATACCTTGGCTTGTTTCAGGCCCTTCAAAGTCAAGATAGTTGTCATTCTGACTCCACGAGCGATATTCAAGGTAACTCTCAGGCACAGTAGTAGCATGCCTGATAGGGATAGCACATTTATCGTTAGTTTGTTGATACGGGCCAGATGCACATGCTGAATGCTGATTATAATGCCTATAGACCGCGCCTGTGCCAAACAGTGCTAGCGCCGTGCCGCCGTCGGCAGATCTATACAGCCACGTTCTTGTGGGCGCTAGCACGCGCTGGCACACGAACGTTGAATGCGGTCGTAATTGTAGTATTACCTCCATTATTGGCATGGCTAGTTCCACCACGAATGAGAAGGTATTCTCCCATAGATGTATCCCTTTTGAGTAATATAACAGTTTTTGTGAAACCGGTAGGGTCGGGTTTTGGGCCTGGAGCTTGCGTCGGTTGCGGGTCAGGTTTTGGGCCTGGAGCTTGCGTCGGTCGCGGTGGTTCCGGACCCGGAGAGGATCCTAAACACCCTTTCCTGCAACTGTTGTGCATGAGTCTCTAGCACTGAAATCCCTTACCAATTTTTGAGGCGAGAGAGATGGCTACAACGCGGTTAACGTCTATTTGTGCTCTTCCTAAACAAAGCATTCAGATAAGCGTACCAATGAAATGGAATAATTGCTAACCGTCGGCTCCTACGGTAATGGTTTTCCCTGTGCATCTGTTATTTTCGACATATCCGCTAAATACGTCACAATATTGGCCAGCAGGCAACGTGGTTTGGAAAGATCTTAAGGTATCAGATGTCTTTAGTAAACAAAACTATCACGGCTAGTGCCACCTGCTCCAGTTCTCATTTCCATTTATAGCAAAGAAACCTTTACCATTATGAGCAAAAGCGAGTCTCCGGTATTCCGTGACAATCTGAATCAGGAATCAAAGAAGGAAGAGAAGAATTGATATGCTCACCCCTGATGGTTTTGTGCCTTCTACGAGCGATCGCCACTTAGCCATTCCTCTGAAGTAAAATTTGTTAAAAGCATTTTCGTCCATTCCTTTATTGTTTGATTAAAAGTGTTTGAGTTTCGAACTTTAGGTTCTTTGAACGGTTTCACATGATTGTTGCTGAGGCTATCATTGATTTTCCGTAAAATACGCAAGAAAATCTTAAAAAGCTAATCAACCTGATTGCCGGCCATCGGTGTTCACAAACAAATCCGGAGGACGGATCGCAAGTGAGGTCTTCCTTGAACGTCGGCGACTTCGTCTACAAACTTGAATATTTACATTGTTTTCGGGCTTGTGTCGTTACCTTAAATCCACTTCCAGGACCCTCACTAGGAGGTCCCCGGTTGTTATCATTGAAGTAATAGCTGCTCATTACTCTCGGATAACCGTAGCTCCAACCCAACATGAACGCAACTGCCATTTTATACTGTTCGCCATCTTTGTAAGTAAACTGTAAGATAATGCTCCTTTGTTCCACAAATTCAGTTAATTAATAGCAAGTAAAACACGTAAGGCCTCGGGCATACCCCACGCGATTTCAGTCGCGACGCGATTTGGCAATACACTCCAAATGTTCATAACTCATCATGGGGTTTCCGAATGTACGGAAGATGGGGCATTTCATCAATTTACGAAAGTTATACATGTTGTGCATTTGGGGTCTACCAGTATTGAATTTGAAGATATGTGGCAAATCGCCAAATCGCGTGGCGACTGAAATTACGTGAGATATGTCCCTTGCCTAATAAAATCGAAGGATTAACGTCGCCTTCCTTTACCTCAAATCCCTATGATTTGCCAGAATCCAACACATATATGACTTACCACATCTCCTTGTCTCTGATTGTCATGATTGTCGATAAAAACCAAAACATCGTTGCTTGCGCCATTACCGTAACCGTAACCAGGTCCAATGTTTACCATTTCACTACAATTAGTACCATTAGCTGCGTGCTGGAGCATTAGCCCTTTTACTTCCAATCACGGTGGGTTCGTGCTGCCTGCGTAACCATTGGTCCATAGTTGAAGTTGATATACCTGAAGAATAACTATTATCGCAATTTGGACACGTCTGGGCAACTGTTTTCACAGAGGGCACTATGCGAACTTAATCGTTGTGTTTCCTTCTATCAATGGAATTCGCAATTTCGCATTTCCACATATTTTTTAGCGATCATTGAGATGTTGTGCGCAGCTTTCTTGATGATGTGGTCTCATGCATAGTGTAGTTAAAGGCAGTGGATCGGCAAAACTGAACAACTCAAGATTTTGACGCGATAGGTTGGTTATCACCTAAGTATGAAAACAGTGCAATCACGGTCGCACAGCATGCCTTCCCTGCTGAGAAAATTGCCCTCAAACTTACACGCTCAAGCTGATCCAACACGCGCTCGTACGAGTTGACAATCCCCCCCCCCCTCACCATTGGAGGCTGCCCGCCGCAATGCTATAAACATTGGGTTCTGCAACGATTCGGCGTCTTCAGCCTTGCCGCACTCGCCCAATTTGAAAGCGAAGGGCATTGAAAAACGCGCGTTATCGCCACTTCACGTTCTCTATAGTGGATTTTCGGGATCAGCGCATTGGATAACCCTAGGTAAGTGAGAATTTGACAGGTTAAGATTTGCCGAGCCACTACCTTTAAAGGAGTTAGATGCTTGCAGCTTTCGCCCATTTAGTTCAATATGAATCTCATTCATTTGTGTCTTCTCCTAAAACATCATACCTATTTGTAGGTAAATTACCATTGTTATAGCATCCATTTTGTTAAATGTTTCGCCCACGTACATAGTTTTTTATGCATTTCCCTGTCGCGGGGTCTGCCGCTCTCACTCTTATTAGTCTTCTCTTCTTCTCAGTTCAAGCTTGGTCTTTGTTGATTTTTAATTTCGTTGATTCTCTCATATCTGCTTTGACCCTATCCAGTCATCGCATCTTAGGGCGTACTCACCGCCTCTTTCCTGGCACATCCACTGGCATGGCCAGTCTCGTGATGTGGTCTTCGTCTTTTCGCCTTATATCTCCATACCATCAGAGACGTCTTTCTTGAATCTTCTTCACGATTGGTGTGAATTTCATTACGCTTCGTATCGTGTCATTCAGATTTCGGTCAAGCATCGTCACTCCTGTCCATCTCAACATTCGCGTCTCCATTATGATTCTTCTCTCTTCGTCGCTCGCACATCGCCAGCATTCGCTTCCATATAATGCCGTTGGTCGTATACTGTACGGTATATCACGGAACTCAATTTTTTTCGCATCCGTTTATCGCATAGGACTCTTATGATACTTCTCCACTTCATCCAAGCTGCATTCACCCTGCTACATATCTCATCGTGGAGGCTGCCATCTGCGGAAATACTGCTTCCTAGATACTTGAAGGAGTTGTCTTCTTGAGTAACGTGCTTTCAATCTAGATAGTCCTTGTTTTTTGTGGTCCCATTTCCATAAACTCCGTTTTAGTCGTGTTCAGCTTTAGTCCATGTACTCCAGTTGATCTTTCCATCTCTGCACTTGCATCGTATACACTTTGTCAGTTAATTCTTCCCACAATAAAAATTTAATTACTGTTTTATTTGAGGTATGCTTGTATCCGCTCAAGACCTCTTGGGGCAGTCCAGTTTTATCTAGCAGTGCATCAAATCAGTATAAGACCTTAGACAACAAAAAATAGTAAATAGAATGTTTAGTTGTTGCTGAATGGCTTTTCGGCTCCTATGCTTTTCTCTAAACTTGATGTTTCGCCCAAACTCTTTTCTTGAAACTTTGTCCAAAATTTTCCCGTGCTTGCACCATGTCAGTGCCGCGTCAGTTGATCGATGCGATGAATTTAATGTTTCTCCCACTAATTCTTTCTTGAAGCCGTCCAGACTTCTCCCGTGCTAGCGCTGTGCCACGTAAGCGTTGCCACGGCGCTGGCCTAGCACCAGCACAGAAGCACTTTGAATGCAGCCCAGAAGATATCAATTCGCTATCGGGTAAATTTACCTTCCGAGGGGTGCGTACTCTGCAACCGTGACTGCTTCACCACCTCTGTCGATGACTTCATGGGCAAAGAATGCCCGCTTATTGGCGCCAAAGATCTAAAGTTTTTGTATCATACTCTTATCGTATCTCAGCCTTTACGGTAACCCACATCTTCTCTCAAGTTTTTGGTTCCATCCATAATAGCCTTCAACTCTTTAGGCCACATATGTTTTGAGGCGTCAACTCTGAAATATAAGAGAAACTAGTTAGCACCAGATAACTCGATGTAGAATCAAGTGACCTGAATCCGGCCACACCGAGATCTATGAGATGGTTGAGATATCCGATGATCTTGCCTTGTACATATGATTTACTCTGGTCTAAGTCAAGCAGTCCAACAAGTCGACAATTTCTTACCTAAACGGGTCATTTCGCCCTTTATGTTTTGACCCCATCTCCTTAGAAAGTATTCGAAATAAATAAACTCACCCTATCTGGATTGTTACTGTAATCTCCAGATCCAATGCCTCCTTTACATCTGTAATCGTTGAAGTCTTCCTGAGAATATGGGACCTGAAATGTTACTATGTTCATACACAGTTCCAATCACGGAAGCGTTGGTGGTTTGAATCCTTCTCTTAGACCCTTTCTTCCAATTTTTTCGATTTGCTTTCCATTTGGATATTCTGAACCTTCAACCCTTTGTCCTCACTTCTGGGAAGCTTTCTACGCCGTCCGTTGCATCAAAGAATGAGCCGCCGCTGCTATCTATGGTACCGACTCCTTTTTTCTGTCCAGCTCCGGTCATGTGATTGATGACAGTATCAACAACGATTCTAAAAGTGACGAGATCGACTTGGGTAACCAAACACACGTGGAACGACATGTTTACCTCACTCCAACTTTGTTACATCGGTCAACCATATCTTTGAACTCTTCCTCGTTACCACTACGTGAGATAAGTTTGTAACTGACTGGCTGGTATCTGCACAAATAATAAAAATTTTCCAAGAATGTAAAGTGTCAGCAGTATGAAAACCTACCTGACCCACCAAGGCATGTCATTATTTTGAATCAGTGTTATGTGTTCCATAGGTGGTGAGACCTGCAATGAATGGAGTACATCGCAATAGTTCATTTTCATTTAGGCGAGTCATCGCACGCAGAGACAAGGCTCCTTCTGCGGTTACTATCGTCGTCTCCCAAATTTAGCGTGCTCTCACCTCTCTTACCTCTTGCCTCTTCAAACAAAACACCTACAGGCGGACGAAACTGCGTTCACTTTCTGCGTGCGCTGACTTCTCTTTACCTGTACGGCTCCGTATCCATAATACTGCAAGAAATTTTCACATTCTGCAGCGATATCCTTCCATTTCCACTCGAACAAGTGCACCATTACTTGACGATCTGTCAAGGTATTGGGATATTCATATCTGAGATATATTTTTTAAGCGTGCATTAACATTGGGGGCGGGAATACTTACGGATCAGCAGTGGCTAGCGCGAAGAGACATGATATCAGTATAATTTTACCCATGTCTGGAATTTGTAAATGAATTTTTCAGCGAAAACATTCATTGCAAAGCTACAGACTAGTCTAACATGGAGAAAAGTCCTGTTTTTAATGGTACAGCAAAACAAGATTTTATTATAGTTTCGCCCGTTTATAAATTTCGAGCGGCAAAAACATGGAGGAAGGAAGTTTTTCCAGGGCAAATCTGTACTCCTGCCCTTATATGCGCTCCCTTCTTGTCAGAAGTCAAACCAAGATTAGTCGAGCTGTCAAACCGTTAAAGGGATTAGTGTCAGACAGACATAAGCAGCCACCGTGATCATTCGCTGACTTCGTACAAAAAACAGACAAGGAATTTGAGTCGCCATTTTTTCTCGAAGCTCGCCATCAAGAACGCGTGACATTTTCTAACTACACTGAGTGCGATAGAATTACAGTCGCCAACTTTGCAAAAGTGCCACAAAATCGCTAAGGAATATGGACTCTCCAAGAATGTGAGGAAACAAAAATAAACAATGGAAAGTGTAGCTTTGAGTAAGGCAAAAATAATTTTTTTCTAATTTTTGCATGAGACATGTAGAAACATTAATCAAGATCGATTTGGTTGTTTTGAAAGTGATTTGAAAAAACAACGATGATGAGAATTAAACAGATGTACTCTTGATCCGTCGTGGAGTATAAATTCGTTTTACACTCAAAAATACTACGCTATACCTGGCGCACCCTATATCATCACAGTTTTAAAAAGCAAAGCATCCTTATTATCTGTCATCTGAGATAATCAACCCATACGCAGTTTTTGTGCCGATAATGTAGACATCGTAACACAGGCGTAACACCCCTCTTGTGCTTACAAGGGAATGTTTAGAAGTCGAAGCGGCCAAACAAAACGAGCGTATACCGTATTCAATGCAGCATAAATCTCTGACTTCGAATCTGCCTTTCTTATCTTAACGCTTTTGTGGACAAAACTGTAGGCAGTTTTATTGCGGAAAAAACCTACATAAATGCGAAATTGAGCTTATTGCCCTCTCAGCTCATTTTAAAGGCAGCGGCTGGGCAGGATGACAAATTTGGGATATTCATTGTTCTCGGTTCTCCTGGATGAGCTGAGTCCAAGAATTGTGCTTTGCAGCTTTAAAAGATATCAATAATGCGCTTTTCCAGACGTGAAAAGCGCTATTTGAGGGCGGAGCGCGTATCTGCCCTCTAGAGCGCGATTGGCTCTTGAGTGGAGATACTGTAGCCACCGTACCCACGAGCCAATCGCGCTTCAGAGGGCGGATACACGGTCCGTTCTCGAATAGCGCTTTTCACGTCTGGAAAAGCGGGTCATTGATATCTTCTGAAGCTGCAAAGGACAGCCTTGGACTCAACTCATCCAGACCGAAAGCGATGAATATCCCAAAGTTGTCATTCTGCCGAGCCGTTGCCTTCAAGGTGTGGGCTTTACGAAGAAACTTAGCTGCTTGTTTTGGCTCGGCATTATGGCAAACGTATTGTGGCTCTGCACGGCAAAATTTCCACTTTCACGCATAATTTTTTAACAAAATAATGACCTTTAAAGCTTATAGCTTCGTCCAAAAACGCGATAACATATAGGGAAGGCAAATTTGGACTCAGCGCTTTATGCTGCATCTAATGATATGCAGCCTGTTCGGATTGGCCACTTCGACTTCCGACCGTTCCCTTGATGGGCGCAGACTGTAAAGTCACCAGTCATAACCTTGGCGATTTAAGCTTGTTTATTGCTTGACCGCACAAACTGGTCGTGCACTGCGGGGCACGCGCCGCGCGGTCAAAGGCTTCCACTAGCACAAATCGCTATTGAACAAGTTGCGCTCTCTTGACATTTCAGCCGCGCCGCGCCTGCTCCGCAATGTACTGCCAGTACGCGCGGTCGACGACTAGAGGATATCTGTTACGTTTGGCAGGCGGCAGACTTATTTGGTTCAAGCGGTTCATCCGATTTACCCCATTCGCTGTTGGTCGAATCACTGAATTGACCAAAAGCAAATTGGTGAAACCGGACGCACGGCTTAGTATGGCGCTTATCTTACCTTACTTCCCCATTTCTACAGCATTACACCACTGCACCAAGGCGTGCATGCTGATTGGCTCATTAAAGCTACAAAGCTTACATTTTGTGACGCAAAAGAGCGCCATCCTTCCGCTCGAAATTGTGCCACCATTGAGAGCCTAAGACCAAATTAAAAGCTTACAAGGGAAGGATACTAACTAAGATTCGCCTTTGAGATCTGAAACATACATCAGCTTTGAACGTTGATTCATGCTATTTCTAGCTGCTTAGCTTCATTTTGAAGCAAGTTATGGGCTTGCAATTGTGAGTAACTAACAAACTTCTGAACGTCGTAAGACGGCGTGAAGATAAGAATCTGACCGAAAAAATGCTAGGATGTTAAACTAGCATCAGAAATTTTTCTGATCTTGAAAGGGAGCATTATACAATTGCATAACCACCTAGACGTCAACACCGTAGCATAGCAGGCCGAGATGCACGCAAACTTTGCATAGAAAAGAGACCATAACTCGCTTCAGAACGATGCTAAGCAGCTAGGAATAGCATATTTGGAATCAGCGTTTAAAGCTGATTCCAAATATATGTGTTTCACCTCAAAAGTCAAATCTAAGTTAGTATCCTTTCCTTGTTAGTTAGCCAACACAGTTTTATCGTGATTGCAATTACTAGTATAAAGAATGCATTCATTATTCGGCAAATCGTATAACCTTCGAATTTTCAGCTTACTTGAGTTCGTTCCGCTGAACTCAAAGATTTATTTTAAAGAGCGCAAAATGGCAAACAAGCCACTCATCTAGGGCGCTCGATTTGGGACTAGATTAATAGAAGCACAGCCTCCAAAATCAAGGACGCAAAGTCGTTGCGAGACCCTTATGATGACGATTGCGGCAGCGCACCACTTTTATGCTGGGATAGGAACTTCCGCAGCGTTAGGGATCAAGGTGTGCTGGAATAAGTAGCCTGACCTTTCTTGTATTAGGCTGTCCGGAAATTAATGCCCATTCTGAATTTCAACCTCAATAAAGCAAGCTCTACAAGATGGCCGTTTTGCTTTTGCAACAGCTCTCATTCGCCTCCAGTTTTAAGCCAAAAACTAAAAAGACTCAGCAAGCCGAAAAATCGCAAAAAATCATAACTCAGTTCATAAAAATTCTACAAAGATTCTACATTGCTCACGTAAACGCTATCCACGTAAGACATCTAAATACGCCTTTGCCGTATTTTTTCCCTGCTAGAAACCAAGAAAATAGAAATTTTCCTGCATTTGCCGAAGTGATGCTGTGCCATCCCCACATAGGTAGTTGTATACCACAAGCCTGTAGAAGTACAGACTTAAATTTTCAGCTTTCTACAAGCTTTGATTTTCGAAAAATGCCGCATATAGCTTTCCCTAGTTAGGTGGTCCAAGCTAAAATTCAAATTTCTCAAGAACTAAAGCTTGTAGAGAGCTGAGAATTGACGTTTCTACTTCTACAGGTTTGTAGTATACAACTACCTATGTGGGGACGGACCCCCACAATGGTCGGTCGCCTCATCGTGGCGTGGGGGTGACACTGGGTGTCGAACTGCGATGCACAGCCGAGTGTATACTCTGGTAGGGCCTCCCAAGCTGTGAAGGAGTTCGACGTTTCCGGTTTCGGCCGGATGCCTAGCTAAGAACTGGCCGCGCCAGATTCTCCGCCGTCTGGCTTCTTCTGGTCGCTAGGCGGTCCCTCCCCGCTCCAAGCCCGGGGTCAGCGATCACCCCGTGGAAATCAAGAGTAGGCCTAGTAAGCCACCTCTTGTAGGGGAACAAATTTTATTACTCAGACAGCAAGAAGATTTAGAAAAAACCCTGTACATCGGATCCCGCCTACGGCGCCGGGTGGTAGCAAGAACGATGTCAGGGTACTCAGGGCGCCTTTCGGATTGGACAAAAACGACACGTCTGCCCGGACGACACGCCATGGAGACTGCCTCATGCTCTGCACTTACAACGCCAGGACAGTCTCCACAAACGCCGACCTCCACGCTCTTCTCGACGCTGCAGAGCACATCAACTACCACATCATTGCTCTGCAGGAAACGAAGTCCAGGAAGAAGGACGTGCGACAGATGAGTGATGGGACCCTCATCATTCGTGGTGAAAAGGTTCCATCACGAAACGTGGGAGGCGTCGGCTTTGTCGTCCACCCATCTATCGTCCATCTTGTCGATTCGCACGAGATCCTATCACCTCGACTAGGCATCCTACGACTACGGCCTCCACATCAGAAGACCATCAGCATCATCAACTGCTATTCTCCAACATCAGCAGCTGACGAATCAGAACTAGATGCTTTCTACGAAGATGTGGAGGAGGTCGTCCGCAACGAGAAGTCCTTTTACAAGTTTGTTGTGGGCGACTTCAACGCGAAAATCGGGATGCCATTGGAAAGGGAATATAGGATCGGGAAGTTTGGATATGGGCTCCGGAACGAAAACGGCAACCGTCTTGCTGGGCTTCTCTCCGCCGCACGACTTTTCCATGGAAATTCCATCTTTATGAAGAAGGAACATCGCCGGTGGACATGGGAATCGCCCAACGGAACGACCCACGCGGAGATCGACCACATTCTCACCAACCGAAGGTGGAGCTTACTCGATGTCTCTGTAGTTCCATCCTTCTGTAGTGGCTCCGATCACCGCCTCCTTCGAGCGAAGATACGACTCAGCCGAAGGCTGGAAAAGAAAGTCTGTCATAGTGCCGCGAGAAGGAAGGAAGTCGTTTATGACGGTAACAGGCTGGAAGAGCTCATATCAAGTTGTGACTGGCCCATCGAGGAGGACCCAACGTACGACTACGACCGGCTTCTGAAAGGATTGCGAGCCTGCGGAGAATGCGCCTCAGTGACTTCTGAGAAGAACTTGGACCGCATCTCGAAGACCACCAAGGAATTGCTCGAAAGAAGAAGATCACTGAGGCAGGATCCGAATGCAACTCATCTCGAGCGACTGATTGCCA